CCACAGACTTGCATGGAAGAGTTCTATTTAAAGGGGTATGGTTGGATTATGAGCAGCCCCAGAGCCAACACATCAACACAAATCCAGGCCTCTGCCAACAGACGAGACACATCTGGAGAATAAACACAGCCGACACATGCCACCAGTGTCACCAACGCAGCCGCTGCTCTGGGGACATGGGACGTCAGAGAGATTGGACCATACATATAAATTACTTTCTGCGTAGATGTGTGATAAAGACTTTCATGACATTTTCTCCCAATTTTTATTTTTTATTTTCTTGCAGCATGTGTGTAGGGGACCGTGGGACATGCTCTCTCTTATTGGTTTATAGTTATTGGTGATCTGATCTTGGTGTATACTGAGAGGTTTTGCAGGCAAGTCTGCAACAATCTGTCTAATTATGATTTCTGTTATGGTTGGACTGGTTATTTACTTTTATGGGGAACTCAGGTTTGACTGGGTAATACTTAATGATTGTAAAAAAAGTAAAAGTTAAGAAGGAATGTTGCAATTTTTTGTTGTTGCTGCATTTTTTACTTTGTAGGGATTGACCCAGTTGCCATTATGTTATCTTAACTTTTGAATATGGCTGTTATACAGTGCTTGTTTAGTAGGTTTTCTGGTGCGGGGTGCCCTTCAGCAGAGAGAACCTTCTAAACAATTGATCATAGCATCCTAGACACCACTTTGATGGACCATGCTGACTGTATACAGCCACCGTAAAATAGGTGAAATAGCATAAAAGATTAACACATTTTTTCACTTAGTCGCATAATGCCCCTTTAAATTAAATATTTTCTTTATTGAGAACAGTATTATTAGTATTGGGGGCGACAGTAGCTCAGGGGGCGACAGTAGCTCAGAGGGCGACAGTAGCTCAGTTGGTAGAGCATTGGCCTTGAGGCCAGAAGGTTGTGGGTTCAATTCCCACCTCTACACCTTCTCCACCGACTCCCACTGATGACTGCTGTCGTTGTGTCCTTGGGCAAGACACTTAACCCCACTTTGCCCAAAGCCCCCCACTGAAAGATCAAAGGCTATGCTCACACTCAGAGAGCAGCCGTCCTCCTGTGGACTCACCACCTGCAGAGGGTCAGTGAGGGGCTGGTGCTATGAGACTTGGGTGGCATCTCTGACTGCCACCCCCCTGACCCAGAAATGGATTAAAGGGTAGAAAATGGATGGATGGAACAGTATTATGAATTAAAATTTGTCAACACATCTTCTGTTTGCAATCTGTGGTTGACAAACTGAGGATGAGAATATTTTTCAATGCAATCATGTATTTTTGTTCAAATGGACGAAAGATATAGGGAGCCAAAAGCCTTTTTTATAAATTGAATCAAATCGCATGGAAATTAATTGACTGATTGAATTGAATGTGCCTTGTATCGAGGTTATGTATCGGCAAACTCTAAAAGATATCCAGCTCTACTTGTCATCATGGTATCAGAGGTAATCGGTCCCGTCATAAACCATGTCGTACCTCAATCAGGAGATGTATTAAAAGGACAACACTATAATACAGCTGAATTATAGTACCGAACTTTTGCCTTCACTGCTCATATTTAAGAATAAGTTCCTAGATGTAGTGTTGCTTGGTGTTTTGGTCCGTGTTGGGATGAGATTCATGTGGAGCTCTCTGACATTTGTGCTGTAAATGTGAATAATTCATGTGTTAAAGACGAGTGCTGGGGCAGAAGGGAACAGTATACATCTATCTCAGCCTTGTCTTTGGGTTCCCTGAAGCTACAGCTACTTGCACTCTTGAAGCAGCTACTGAGGTGTTAAGATGCTTAAATGGGTGCAGTTTGTATCGTCACGAGGGGAGAATTGACTGGTGTGATATTTACTTTCATGTCATGTGATATGCAAAATCATTCTTATTAAGAGTCCAAACCAATCCCACACAACTGAATGACCTTGAGATATTAGCTCATTCATTCAATCTTTTGCCTCTGAACAGGGCGTGGATGAAAAGGGGAAAAATAAAAGAACTAGGGTGGGAAAGATGAATTGATATCCGCGGCTAAGGGGGAAGACTTTATAACCTCTCATTAAGCTTCCAGTCTGATGGATAAAAGGAGGAGGTGGGGAGATGGAGATGAAACTGGGAGAAATAGGGGAGATCATTTTTTGTCCTGGAAGTGTCTTGGAGGTCTGGATAAAAAAAAGCCTTGATCAGTCAAAGTCTAGTGGTCTTCTCCCTCCACACACACCGCTCCAGCCTGATGGCCCGGTAAATGCTCCCGTTGTGCTTTGTTGCATTATTCAGCTCTCATTAGAATTGGGCCGGGAGGTGATTTTGAAGTACTCCTCTAAGATGTCTGACTTTGGATTATTAGACATTTCTGACAACATTGAAAGGTCTTTTTTTGTTATGCAGATTTCCCAAAGAATGTCTCGCAAAAGTCTCTGTGAAACATTTACTATGATAGGAAATGAACATGCTTGATGATTTTCCAAACGGCATGTATAAAAATTATGTGCAAATGAACGATGACGAAGGATCACAGAGATGGATGTTTTGTGGAAAGTAAAACCGTTTGATTACATGATTTAACATTGTAGAACCCAGACATGAAAATCTTAGTTGCGTAAAATGATCTGTGCTATTTTTTGGAAACCTTTTATTCAATGACCAAATTTGGAAATGTCTCATATTTGTTTCTTTGGTTTCTTTGGTACATACATTTAGGGCTGGGCGATTAATCGATTTTAATCATTAATTCGAGTTTTACGTTTAGGGCGATTTCTTTTTTTAAAAATTCGATTTTTATTTTTTCCAGCGCAGAACTACAGCGCTAACGCGCTAACCGCGGGTCTATGGTGTTGAGCAGTCATTTTGAAGCTAACCTAATGCTAACAGTCTCCCTCTGGCCTGATGCTCGCTCTCACAGTTGGTGCTGTTGCAATAACACTTCAAAAGTTCAAGAATCAGACTTTATTTAAATCGCCAGAACACACACACACACGCACGCAGGCTCCGGTCGCTATGTTTGTACGCCACATCTTTCACGCTCTCTCACGCTCGTTATTCCAAAGCGCACTCCCGTGTCCGTGGCGCGCACACACTCGTGTCCCACTGAGCCGCTGCACTTTGGGGAAAGACACGTCTCACACATTGCTCTCATTGCTCTGATACAAACAACGTGTTCCCCGCTGTCTGTTAGCTACAGTAGCTGTTAGCTACAGTAGCTGCTAGCTACAGTAGCTGCTACAGTAGCTGTTAGCTACAGTAGCTGTTAGCTACAGTAGCTGCTACAGTAGCTGTTAGCTACAGTAGCTGCTACAGTAGCTGTTAGCTACAGTAGCTGCTAGCTACAGTAGCTGTTAGCTACAGTAGCTGCTACAGTAGCTGTTAGCTACAGTAGCTGTTAGCTACAGTAGCTGCTACAGTAGCTGTTAGCTACAGTAGCTGCTACAGTAGCTGTTAGCTACAGTAGCTGTTAGCTACAGTAGCTGTTAGCTACAGTAGCTGCTACAGTAGCTGTTAGCTACAGTAGCTGCTACAGTAGCTGTTAGCTACAGTAGCTGCTACAGTAGCTGTTAGCTACAGTAGCTGTTAGCTACAGTAGCTGTTAGCTACAGCATCAGAATGTAAACAGGAAGCTCGCACAATGCGGGAGTCACTGAAGTTAGTATTAGCGCCACCAGCTGGACCGAGCGTTGTACTACAGCACAGTTACTCAGGCACAGTTGAAAGAACAAGCATGAAAACCCGAGGAGGCTTTTGGAAAATACTGTCTGTTACAACATTTCTATTTTGAGTAATCAGTTTTAAAAATGTGATATTTCATGTAAATAATGCATGTGTTTAATAGGATTGATATATTTGCGATGGGCCTTGTTTGTGTGATTTAAGTTATTTTGAAGGTGCATAGTGTCATTGTAAGTGAAGTTATTATAAAACTGTTAAGCTACATTTTCACTGTTTACAATGGCAGAGCCATCTCGTTTACAAGCATGTTTTAAGGCTTAATTCCTGTTACACTTATGCTCCATGGGGATTTAGATTAAACTGCATAAAGGAAAATCTATTTCTTTGTCAGTTGTAGTTTGTTTTTAAATAGAAAAAAATAAATCGATTAAAATCGAAAATCGGATTTGGTGTGAAAAAATCTGAGATTTTTTTTTTTTGCCATATCGCCCAGCCCTACATACATTGCTTGGTGCATTAAACCAAAATGTCTTCTTTTGCCAAAACCGTTGAACTTTAGGTTGCATATTTGCAATCGAGGGCAAGAGTTTGTGATGTCCACTCTTAGTTGTCTAATAAATTCATTACAATTACAATCCACTGCCTGTAGCTCCTAAGCACTGTTTACTGATGCAAACCACCTCCTGGGGTTCAGCTAGAAACAGTACGAACTCTGTGTATTACATGTCATGTCATTTTCTTTCCCGCTCATTCCATTTCTGGGTCGGGGGGGTGGCAATCAGAGCTGCACCCAGTTTTCAAAGCACCAGTGTGTGACAACTTTTTATTTATTTACCTGCTTTAGTACTTGCTAATATTTTGTTAGTGAATTGTGTTTTCTTTCTGAGACCTAGACAAAACCAGTTAAGTTTCACCTACCAAACCGGCAACCCAAATTATAGCATTCTGCTGATTATCTGCTTGAATCGGTTTTTATGCAACAGAAAAACGTTTATATACATATTATGGACATGTTTATTGTATTTTTATGTAAGAATAACTCTATTTTGAACTGTTGTTATAAAAGATGCAGATGTAAATTTTTATTAAAATATTACATATAGCCCCTTTTAATGAAACATACATGTCTATAGCTGCTGCCCAATTGTCAATGTTCAAAAGTAGTAAAAATTATTCAGTGCAGGATTTTTTTAGAATTTCTTTTCATTGCACAATGATTACAATTGTGGTGTTGCATTTCCTGTTTTGGACATCAATTTATGTTTGGCCTGGATTAGTGCTATGAAATTACAATGGCCTTATAATAGTCTCTAACCACATTCTGTTGTCCCTCCAGAATCACCTTCTGCCACCTGCCCTTCCAAAGCAAATGGCTGTACATCGGGACCGAACGCGGGAACGTCCACATCGTCAACGTGGAGTCCTTCATGCTCTCAGGCTACGTCATCATGTGGAACAAAGCCATCGAGCTGTGAGTGTCCACCCTTTTGTCATGTGACCCAGAGGCGTCGTTGTGTGGGATGTCACATAGCCCAAAGCTATTCATACACTGCAAATTTTAGTTTTGTTTTTTAGGCATATCACAGCTCACCAAAAGGCCCGGTTTAGACGGAGGCGTTGCAGAAACACAACAACAAGGCTCCTTATTTGAAGTGCACAGGATTTACACAGTGACAGAAATTGATGTAGTTCTAGCTCCCGGCCAGTAGGGGGCAGTGGAACTTTACAACACGACACACGCAACCCCCAGCAGTATAACCCCTCCTCAACAACATCCTCCTCAGGCCGCTGTAAAGACGTGAAAGACGTGCACCAACATCATTCTGCATTTAATAGCAGCAGCAAAAATGGAAACTGAAACTATAGCTCCTTGTGGTTTCATTTGGACAAACAAAGGAGTAGAATTCTCCTCCGTGTAGCACTCGAAGAATTGCTGTTTACGTTTGTGCCACAGTACAAAGTGGTTAGGTCATAGCAGGCAGAGACTTCACACCTTTTTCTTCAAGCAGCCTCGTGTAAACAGCACCTAAGTCTGTATAGTTACTCACTTAGGCCCCGTTTAGACGGAGACACTGCCTCGGTTTGGCCTCCTGTTTACATGAAGACAGTGTTTCAGGGGGGTGAAAACGCCTCCAGAATGGAACAGAACAGATACGCTTTTGGCAGGGGGCTAGAGAAAAAGGTGTGAATTCTCTGCTGCTATGACCCCCACTTCCCCGCACGTACATTTGGACATGCGCAGTAGCCAATAACAAACTAATGCTAACGTGTGCCTTGCACGCTACACGTCCAAACAAAACCAAGCAAAGCTATGGTTTCAGTTTCCACTTTCGCTGCTTCTGTTAAATGCAGAATGATGTTGGTGCATTCTTTCACGTCTTTACGGTGGCCTGAGGAGGATGTTGTTGAAGAGGTTATACTGCTGGGGTTCACGCTTGTTGTGCTGTAATTTTCCACTGCCCACTACAGGCAGGGCGCTAAAACTACATTGTTTTCCGTCGTCATGTAAACGCTGTGACCTTGAAAAAGGAGCCTGGTCGTTTTTGCTAATTGCTCTGGTCAAAATATAACCATTGGCATATTCCATTCGGAGTTTGCTGTTTGTGGAAAGACGTCTGGAAGCATATTTGTGAAGCAGTGGTTTGTGCGCTTCTCAACAAGAAGTCCTAGGTTTGAATCTATTGCCAGAACATAGTCTTTTGAGTGGAGTTTGTATGTTCCCCTGTGTCTGCATAAGTTTCCTCTGGGTGCTCCGGTTTCCCCGCTTTATGATGGGTCAAATGCAGTGGACAAATTTACCTACGGGGATAATGAAGCAACTTTACCTCCATAGCTGTTCTGTAGTTTAATTTACTAGACATGCATTCAGTCTAATCACTATTTGTTTCTATCTATCTGTTTGGAGGAGAAACTAGTCTTGAATAGGTGGCTATTGTGACTATGACTATAAGTCTCCCGACTTTGCCGTACCTGTCAACAGGAGACTGAGAGCTGTCTGTCACTTTAATGGACCCTCCATGTTTTACTCCTGAGCGTAGACTTGAGTTGTTCACCAGAGGATTTTGTTTCTTCCCCTTTGGCCTCGTGCCAAGAGACTGGGTGGAGCAGGGTCAAGCCATTTCCAATAAATAACTTGGCTTCCTCTGAATTATGCATTACTGCAAAAATTATGTGTTTGATGCTTAAAACATGATATGCCTTTGGAACATGAAAATTATGACTTTTTTTACATAGCAATTGTTGGCCCCATTTAGGTCCTCACTTGTAAATTCAACGTAGGGTTGGGCAATAAATCGAATTTAGGCAATTAATCGGCTAATTTGTGAAAAATTTGAAAAATGTGAAATCGAATGAAGGATTTTGTGAGAGTTCCAGCAACACATGAATTATATTTGCAATATCAGCACAGCCTGTACAAGACTTTTATGGTGGAAACAAATTAAAAATAGTTTTGAAACTTGAATATTGAGCAGAAAGATCAAAAAATATTATTAAGGGCAAAGTCTGTCTTTGATGACTTTAGTGAATATCGATTTAAAATCTAAATTGTCCAAAGCAGGAAATAAAATCGAGATTTTACTTTTTTGCCATATCGCCCAGCCCTTTTTCAACGTGTTCAACATAAAATAAAGCAAAAGCCCTTTTTATTTTGTATTATCTTGATTTAAGAGCATGATTGCCTAGGATTGACTTTTTCTATTGGCCTTATTCACAACAGCAAGATTTTCAAATTAGAACAGAATAGAAAATCGAACACAAGAAATGCAATAACAAGAAACACATCTATGACACTATGATGATCTATGACACTATGATAATCTATGACACTGTGATAATCTATCACACTATGATAATCTATGACACTATGATAATCTATGACACTATGATAATCTATCACACTATGATAATCTATGACACTATGATTATCTATCACACTATGATAATCTATGACTCCAGTGGCTCATTTTCTATTTAGTGCATTTAAAATCAACAATGTGCTACAAAAATCATCCAAAACACTTTTGCACTTCTATCCAGTCCCATTGATCACATCTATAAATTCACACTCCATTGCATCAAGTTGCAATGCGCTATTATTTTGTTTTATCCCTAATCTGCTACCAATAAACAGTAATATTGGGTGATAAAGCCTTTTTTTTTTTTTTTTTTTTACACAAGGCGAACGGTCAGACCTGTGTCAAAATAGTGGCAATAATTTCTTCAGTGTATTAGATGTGTATGTAGGCTTCGATGTGAGTGTGGGGGCAGGAGTGTTTGTTTATGCAAAAGCGCATAAATGTATACGTCATATGAAACAGGTTCTGATAGAAGCTAGAAAAAAAAAAAGAAAAAAATCAATTCATCAATGTCTGTATTGCTGATATGGAATTTTCACATCGGTGCAATCACTAGTCACGTGGCTGTGGTCAGGAGAGAGCGTATTGTGACTATAGCTTCATAAATGAACTTGTGGATGTGTGTTGTTTCCTCTGTTGCGTGTCTTTGCTTTGTGTATGTGTGTTTCCGCCTGGAGTGGGCTTGATGCTGATCAGAGAGGTGAAGGCGATTGTCTTGTTGGGGCTTTGTAGCTGTGTGCAGCTGTGGGGCGGATACACAAGCATCTCTACCTCCGCCACTGCCGTCTGATCCTGTAATTAGCCCAGAATAGCCCTTGATCTTAGAGCTACTACCACTGTAGGCAGCTGTGAAGGAGAGATCGAGTGAAGATTAAGATATCCACAGATACGGGTCTACTTTTAAAGATTGTCACTTGAAAATTTCGTGAAAATGCGCCATTATTCGGAAAATTGGGATTTGTTGTTTTGTTTTTGACTTGGGAGGAATATGAATCTGAAGTAACAACAGTATGCTTCTGAGGCTGCATTGTTTTGCCAAAATATTGAATTGTGATATTTCTGACCAACATTGCGTTTGTGATCCAGTTTAAAAAGTCTTATTTTGTTCAGAGTGACAATAACTATACCAGTTTTGTTTGAGAAGTCTTCAGAGCTTATAACGTCATACACAATTCCCACACATTTCAGAACATGTTTAGAGCTCTAAACTGTAGTATAACCTTTTTTCTTATAAAAATAAAAATTTAACTGCAATACCCTTTACAAATGGTTGTAGCTTTTCTCACTAAATTGTTTATACAAAACCACAAAACCAGTTAATTTGACAGTTAATAAATAAATAATGAAAAGGATTACATTTCTCATTTACAAGATAGAAAAATTATCTCAATTTAAGAAAAATATAAGAAAACTGTATTGATCTCACAAAGGAAAATGTACATGTCACATTTGGCAAAGATAGCATCACTTAGGTTGTGCAAAAAGAGTGTGCAAACATATTAAAGGTTAAAAAATGTGTCTTACCAAATTCAAGTGTTTGCAGCCAGCCCTCTGCCCGACTATGATCTCAGAATCATTTTTATTGCCACGTAAGTAACAGGAGGTCACAGACTTGGAAATTGCTTTGGCTCAGTGCAACAGTCAGAAAGAGAACTGAACTATGATTTCAATAACCTTTACTATTGAACTGATTGCAACAAAAAAATAACAGCAGCAACAACAAATCTGCCGGTTGTCCTTCTGAAGCCTTACATATTGTGCACTAATGTTTCTAAACCAGTGATCGGCTTTATTAAACAGTTGTTTGTTATTCTTATTTGCGTAACAAGACAGTATGCAGAGGTCACCTTCTCTGGGCCCTATTTGGAGATGCAATGGTTGCTCCAGCGGCCCCCCAGGCGAGCCCTAACCCAGAAGCCAGTGCTCTTTCATGAATCACACCTCCGCTCCCCAAGCTGCTTCAGTGGAAAGACTAATAGACAAACGCATATAGGCTCCTATTACATAAGCAGCACTGACATTAGAATTCAAGCTTAAAGGCCACATGTGGAAGTGTAGCTTCACATGGAGACTTAATTTACATGTGTGGATTTGGGTAAGATGATGTATCTTTGTATACACTACACACTACACTACCACTTTTAATTCAATTTTATACAAAATAATGTGTTGTAAGGGCTCTATTGAACCAAGACAAAATATCCCATTTGTAAAATATAGTTGTATTTTTACTATGGCTGTATGCACTATTACAATGAAAATATATAACAACAGTAACAATGAATTAATTATTTGTTAAAGTAAAGGTCAGCGACTTTTCAAATTGTGAAGATGGAGAGACGCTTTTTGAATGCAAGCACCACTTAGGCCCACACCCACAGCTTCCTGACTGGTTGCAATTAATACATACAGTACAAATTCTTGATAGAGGCCCGTCCCCATTGGTCCATCTATTACTGGTGATGCTTATTCCAAGGGGAGGGACTGCGTTTAAATGTATTTATTATGAAACAAACTTAATATAGATGACAAAGGGTAGTATAATCAAAAGGCACTCTATTCAAAAGGAAATACAGTGGAAGGAACTTTTAACCGCTCTTTTTACAGACTACAA